TTTGCAGAAAACCTGGAAAGTAAGTATCAGTTTCCACACATTTGCTGAGGGGGGTGGGGGGGAAGGAGAAGTGAATATTTTAGAAAGCACCTTAAATTTACCTAGGCATACATAGTAGGAGACTTTTAATTTGTTTGACATATTTTTATCTTTTCTTGCCTGTCCTATTGATCTGAAATTGTTGGAGGAAAATCCTGAACTAAATAAATGGCCACACAAATGCCTGGGATGAAACAACTGGCCTGTCTGTATTCATGCTGAGCCTTACACACGATTGCATATAAATACATGTTTAATAAAGTGAGTTGCTAGTTTTATGAGCATGTGTGTGTGAGGGAGAGACAGGGCATTTGTGCTGTAAACTTTATCTTTGCCTGTTATTCCTAACTCTGGAATTAGTAATCTTACCCTCATCATTACAGGGAGAGCATGTAAAATATATAAGTAGGTGGGAGATAAACACACTGATGTTAGCAGGGCTCATCACTGCTCCTGGAAACTCTTGCTATCTCTCTCTCTACTTAACAGTGGCAAAGTATGGAGTGGTGTGTGTGTGTGTGTGTGTGTGTGTCTTATTAAACCCATGTCTATATTACTTAGCCATTTAAAATACAATTTCAAAAGTTTTCCTAATTTAAAACCCTGATATCCTGACAGCAGTCTTCTTCCCATCTGTAGTGACCCCCCCTCCACTTGGTAAACGACTCAAGTTCCATGAGGACTTTCACTTCTTTATTTATAATCGCAGAAGTGAGGTGTTACTTCACACACATACACACACAAAGAATGAAATAAAGAAATGAAACTCGCTAAGCAGACAAAAACAAGCAACTTTCTGCTTAGAAAACAGCCTTCTCCGGTGGGAGAGGATGGGCTGCCATATCAAAGAGAAAGATTTGCCCCCGAATTCGGTAGGTCTGTATTGACCAAGTTTTGTAAATATTAACAGGTATTTCCCAAGTTCTAATTGTTGAATATAATGAATTGGAACTAGATGCGAAAATAGAGCAGGAGCTCTGCCCCTGTTGAGTTTCTATTCCAGCCATATAGTTCTCAATAAAACTTTTCCTAGGATGGGTAGCAAGAGGCACCTTTGGTTACCTGGACAGGTACAGTGCAAATTATTTTGGGGAGAAAAAAGAAGAGAAAAAGAGAGAGAGCGAGACTGTGAGAGAAAGCGAAGAAGCTACTCTGGGGAAAAGCTTGCCATAAAGGAGCGAAACCTACCTGAAATTCCTACCCACGAACACCCTTTCTCACTTCAGACTCACATCCCCACTCAACATGAGAAAATTAGAAAAGGAGGATGGGGAACGAGCGTACCAAAAAGGGATAAAAAGAGAGAAAAGGAAAGAAAAAAACCTACCTGCGAAGTCTTGTTTGTAGTTTTGGCCAGAAATGGTGAGAAGAAAAAGCATGAAGAAGCCGCGAAGTGTGGGGGAGAAAAAAGGTGGAAGCGAAGAAACGGCTCCCGGAGCAAACTGTACAAAAACCTCGCCAAGAGTGTCGGGAGGCAGGACCGTTATTCCTGCGGAGCAGGTTAGAACTGATCTCTTTCGGCCACTCCAGGAAACACAAACCTGGGGACGGACTGACGTGTTACGCCTCTTCTAATGACATTTTTTTCTTTTTCTTTTCTGTAGGAGAGAGAGGAGAGACCCTGAAACACGCGCCACCTATCTTTGTGGGGAGGGATAATTGAAGCGCCCTGAGCGTGAGCATCATGTGAAAACGTGATCGCCAAGTTTCTCTCTGGGAAAGGATCTGGGATAGATTATACCTTGAAGTCTCCGCAAACGCTTTAGTGGAAGAAATGAAATTCCACCTCCCTCCCTTCCTCTCTCCCTCCCTTTCGGCTCCCTTCCTCCCTCCCTTCTCCACGCCCCCCCCTCCCCGTCAAGCCTTTGGCATCATTATCCTCATCACTAAATCCTACAGAGTACAGGGCGGAAAACGGTGCACACCATTCACAGAACTGGAGAACTCCAAGGGGCGAAAGTTAAAGGGAAAGATCCCAGGTCCTCAATCCAGATCGCCTCTTCTTATACAGATATCTCTAATGACCAGATTTGAGATGCACATCAAGTTGTGTGGATAACTCAGCAAGTCTTCTGGAACTAAATTCTTTGCACTTTATTTTATTTTATTTTTTTCCTTTTTAGACGCTAGAGCCAGAAAAAAAAAAATGCTGCTGCATGCGAGCTGCATCTTGGGCGTGTGTGTTGGGGTGTGTGTGTGTGTGATGATGAATTTCTGGATTGGATCCCAATATTAAAAAGTAGTTTGGCATTTTAATCAAGGGTCTCTAAGTAAATTAGCATAGAGCGCTTGCTTGACCGATCTCTGAATCTCTCTACATCTAAGGGAGACCTCAGTACAAAGTGAGGGAGTGTGTATAGGGAGGCAGGAAGAAAAAGGAGGAAGGCCATAGAGAAACTTAGCAGGGAAGGAAGAGCATGATATTAAACGGCATGAGGTCTAAGTTTTGGAGTATATATTTTTTGATATTGCAATTAAAGTAAAATTAAAAAGAAAAGGCTCCACCTTTGCTCTGAAGGGATTGGTTATGCAAATATGGAAGGGATTTCCTGGAGAATACAGCTTTCTACTGTATGGTTAATTAAATAATCACTCAAAAGCTTCCAACGTGACGCTTCTGTCGTAATCCAATCAGGTTACATAGGTCCTAAACAAGAAAGATATTTTCCACATCTGGAAGTCAGCAATTTAGCAAGTACTGCACATTATTAACCAATTCAGAGCCCACTTCCCAGGGGAATTTTTTTGAAGTTTAAGTGTTCTTAACCAATGCTCTGCTGTTTTGTTAATCAAAAAGCTAGTTTACACTGCACATAATTGGAACTAATATAGAAGTAAATAAAGACAGCCAAATTTGAGGATGCTGAACACAGGCATTTATCGGGAAAGGAAGAAATCTCTTAGCTTCGGATGGCTCAGGCTCAATTCTTAAAGAACTGTAAGGCTTTTTCCTTTTCCTTTTTTTCTTTCTTTTTCCTTCCTTTTATTATTTATTTATTTATTTTGAGTGAAAGTGCTTGAGAACCAAGAGCACAAATAAACTTACAGTCCCACAGCCTTTCGGCTCCCTTGGAAAGGTAAAGGTGGAGGTGTGAAGAGGACCAAGGAGCTGCCTCACACCAGGGTTTCTGCTTTAATATTGTTAAATATGTTACCAGTCCTTATTTCCAGTTTGATGAAATCTACAACAAATAATACCAGGATCCAACACTAGACTTTTACTTATATTAAGATAAACTGTTTTGAACTGTGCTTTGAATCTGTGCCTAAAGCAAGACTTTCAATGCAAGACTCACTGGCAATTGCACTCAAAGGAGGGAAAAGCCACCACATGAGTTACCACATCTACACTCCCAGAGGTACTTCTCTTTGTATTTTGTACATTTAATTTTTTGGGGGGGGGGACTTAATAGCCACCCAGCATGACCATAGCTAGATCTTGTTCTGGGATATAAGAAAGTAGATTTTCACAGTTGATTACAGACTCATGTCTTTCCTAATTTAAGTATTTATTATGATGAAAAGAGCTGGGTAAATTAATCTCTCCCTTCCACTCCCATCATAGATGAAGTAGCTGTAGAACATTCAGAATCTTCTTTAGTCTAACACCTATTGATATGAAAATCAAAGAATTCTAACATGGGCTAGCCACAGTCTCAATTTTATATTTTACACTTCTTTTACTAGTATATATGTATACTAAATATACATATGACTTATCAAGTTCTTCCTCTGAGATTTAGCACCACTGTTCACGTCCTCTTTTGTCTTCCTCATCCCTCTTTTTCTTTTTTTCTAATTAAAAAATTTGGAGTCCAGCTTTCTTTAAAAGTTTGCTTTTTAGTCGCCCCACTCCCATTCTCCAGGAAGAAGTCTAAAGCCTGGAGGTACTTCAGGCAAACCCCCTCCTCCAGGCTTCCAGGTAGCCACTGGAGACTTACAGCCCAGACAGACACTTACAAGCATAACCTCAGGTAGAAGGACCCAGTCCAAGAGCTAACAAAACACTTGTCTTTATTAAGTATAAGGAATGCCTCGTTACTTAGGATCTAACTTAAAAAAAAAAAAGACTCAAGTATTTCTATTAAGAATACCTAATGGTCTGATTCCTCTGGGCTCAGTAGTCGTTCACGTGGCAGGAGGCAATCCCTAACACTTAGCTCTGGGAGTTCCTACCTGCAAGTATGTGATTTGGGGTACAAAAGCCACTGTCAAAGTGGAAGTTTGGATGGTGGTATAGGAAGGGTCTCCGCCAAGGGTCGAGCCGAAGCTAGTTGCCCCCCTCCTCTACCTGGCACGCCCCTCCCCAGGCGTTTGACACAGAGAGTTATCACCACCACAGAGGCGATGGAATCGAAGGAAGCTGTAGTATAAATTTGTTCAGAGCACTGCTTCAGTCTGAGGGCCAGGTCGGGGACAATGGGGATCGTGGGATCCGTGGGATGCAGGAACGCAGGACGCAGGGAAAAGTCGAAAGAGGACTGGGGGCCGCTGCCTTTCGGCTCTTCGCACAGCAAAATAAGTCCTGCAAATAAATCGCTCCTTCCCTGTCTGTCTTCCCCATTAATAATCACTTTGAGATTAGCGCAGACGAAGGGGATTAAACACCAGATACACGCAAATGTGAAATAATATTGCAGTCGACATTGAAGGGGCAAAAATAATTCTTTAGGGTTTCCTTGGGTAAAACAAACTGCCTCCCTCAGGATTCCCTCCACCCAGGGAGTGAGAAAGATGCACTTTTGTTTTCCAATTCCCTCCAGCCAGGTCCTGGTACTTGTCCCCCCATTCACCTCTCAGTCTGTCAATTTCCTAAACTTTCACAGCCGCTCCCCCCAGCCCCCGCCCCCAGCTCCGCTCGCCGGCCCAGATGCCCTAAAAGATACAATGTTTCTGCCCTTGAACACACAGGCTGTAGAAAGAATTCGAATTTGGCCACAGCTAATGATTTTTTTTTTTTTAGTAAATTGTTTATTTTGTACCATGTGGAGAAAATAAAAAAAGGAGTCTATTCTCGTTTTGAAATGGAATTGATCTTTCATCTAGAGGAATTATTTCGACGCAGGAGGTGGGCAACTTCTTTTAGAGTTGCAAGCAAAGGGTGATAAAGGCGACCCCAGGATTGGGTGTGTGTGGAGGGGGTGGGGGCGGCAGGGGTCCAAGCCAAGCCAAACGGTTTTCTCACGTGCAAACTCGCAATCCAATCCTTTCGGAGTTGAGCCTAGGATAGGAGGGGAAAGTCTATTAAAAAAAAAAATCAGGAGCATCTCTCTGAGAAGCCCTTTCAAACAAAACCAAAACAGGACCAGAGAACCTGAGACCGTCCCTAACATCCCCGCTGCGAGGCCCGCAGGCTGTGGAATCTCGCAAGTCACCTGGCCCCAGCAGGGCGGCCAGCTGAGGAGGTTTATTTTATTTTATTTTATTTTATTTGAAGTACAGGCTGAATCTCGGCTTCAGTGCTTTTGCCAACGCCTCCACTGACAGGAACCAGCAAACTTCAGGACCCAAATGAGCATCTTAATTTATTGATGCAAAACAGGTCTGCTTGTTGTCCCCAATTTTCCGCGCGCTCGGTCCCCCCAGCCCGCTCGGGTCCCTGCGTTTGATCTCCAGGAGAGGCCCCGCCGCACGGGCGGAGGAGCACGTGGGTGGGGGTGCCCGCCTCCTCCCGCCCGCCCGGGAGCCCCGCGACCCCCGCCCCGCCGCCGGGTCAGCTGACCTGGCTCGCTCTCCTGCTCCCCGCCCGCCGCCCTGTTTCCGGTCCCCGGGGTCCGCGAGCCGCGCTCGGAGCCGGAGCAGCCCGGCCGGGAGGTGATGCTGGGGGCTGATTACCATGAGAAAGGCTGTGCCTGGAAAAGCCTTCTCCACGCGACTGTCAATCTCACGGGGAGGGGGGGCGGAAAGGGGCCCTGTAGGAGTCACCAGAAAACTTGGAGTAAGTTGGATGCGACGCAGGCCGGAGGAGGTGGCTTTCGCCTCAACTTGGAAGGCAGGGGCGTTCAGGGCGCGGACTCCAGCAGCCTCGCCAGGGAACTGAAAGCCCCAAATCGCCCTCCTTCCCTTCCTCCCTCGGCCCTCCTTGCAGCCCTCCCTGCCCTTTATCCTTATTTTCTTGAAATTCTTCCCCAGTTGCATTTTCTACATTCTCCTTGTTTCTATTTGATATCTCCCTTTTGCAATTTCTTGTTTTCTTTCTTAACACTGCTCTTCTCCCTCGCTGTGAGTCTTTTTGTGCCTCCTGTATGTGTCCAGATTTATCATTTCGTTTTGAAAACACAACGTTTAATATGTAATTAATCTACCAGCAGGAGGGCAGGGACACCCTGACTAAAATAACTCTCTGGGTCTCGGAGACTACAAGTTCACCAGGTGTCAGTGAAACGTAAAATAATAATAATAAAGTAAATCAGTATTTCAGGGCTCATAATGGTTTGTTCTTCTGTGTTATATCAGCGCAAACTGATAGTGTTTATAAAAAGATATGATCTTCTTGGAAAAAATTAATACTTGGCATAAGGAAATTCTTTAGAATTAAGGTAATGTGAAAGATTTTATTTATAATGATATTCTAGTAGTGCTTAACAGACTTTAGAAATTACAATGTGTAATTTTAAGGAAAAAACTGTGCTTTTTCTTTTAATGACTTTGAAAACTGTAAAAAAAAATTCTAAAGCACTCGCCCGATCAACAAAGATTGATCAATTCAGAGAGAAACGTCAAATCATGTTTTTTGTATATTGCTAAGCAAATTCACAACTTGAGTAGTTGGGTTGTTTTCTTGGCTAGGTTGCTGCCTGAGGCTGCATATGTCGTGAATGGCTGTTTTATAATAATAATAATAGTAATTATTACTACTACTACTTTACTCTTTCCCTCACTTTGGGCATATTTGTTGTTTTTATTAAAATGCAGAATATGCACTTGTTTACAATTTGTTTACTTTGTTAAATTTTTAGAACTTGTTAGAAGTCAATTGAACATGTATATTAAGCCCTTTTTAGGCCAAGAAAAATAAAGATGCATTAGAAAGATGCTTTTTCTGCTTCATAATTATTAATTGACATTTTATGATGAATAATTAATCATTTGAATAATTTTGGTATCTCTGATCTGAACACATATTTGCATATCTAATGCTTGATTTTAAATGTGTTTTTTTTTTTAAATCATTCTGTCAGGAAGAAGAAACAAAGTAACAGTTCAATTTAAAATTTCTCTTCTATACTTGTAAAAGTTTCTTTATTGAGCTGCGATATTCTTTCTAGATCTCTATACAACTTCTTCATTTGAAACCATTTATGTCGCAATCACATACAAACATGTACCACAGCCACTGTTAATTAGGGAAGATAATACCCTATGTAAAATCAAGTCACTCTTCTCCCCAAATCCAGAGATATGGGCACTAATTAAGCACTATATTTTCTTATTGGAATTTGGTCATTAAAATTTTGAGTTATAACATTTTACAAGTCTTAAAGAGAAAATCCAGGCAACTGACAGTCAGGCCTGAGTATTTAAGATGATTTTTTCATATGTCACTTAATATGTGAACTGATTCAAATTATTTAAAAATAAGGGAGCAAGTACATTCCTGATATTTTATACTCCTGTGTTAGTTGAGGTTCCAAGTATTTATTGCAGATTACTACCTGTGTGACTACAAGCAATCTACTCCAAGCTTATTTCCTTATCTCTAATGTGGGTACACTAATAATGCCCATTCCTTAGGATTTTATTGAGAATTAAATAAAGTAATATGTGAAACATCACTATATTGTACCATTATTTATAATGAAAGGTAGAACAAATAACATGGAAAATATAGATAAGCTAAAGACAGCATATATTAATCTTGATTATTAAAAGCAACTATTTATCTTTTATATCATTCACTTTTTTTAATTGAAAAATGAGTGCTATGTCATTAAGTGAAGAAAGAAAATGGAAAGCATCATAGGATTTATGGGTGGTTTATGATTCTTTAGAACTATTCAAAGGCTGTGTAGCCGCAGAAGTGAAAATAAATACAGTATTTCCTTTCTGTTAGTTTAACAGTTAATTCATCGTATTCAATAGGCTCACAATTTGATTATAAACATTAGACTTCTTTTGAGAAGGAATTTAGTCCAAACATATGAACTCAAAGTTTCCTATGTTCTTTCCTTACTTATTGTCTTTGAATCTAAGGGTTAAATTCGCAAAAGCTCAGAAGTGGTCTTGAGTAAGACTTGTGGAAAAAAGGGCAAACTCACAAATTTGAAGACTAGGAATTTGGCTGTCATAGTACTATTTGCTTTAAGACGGCTCATAATGAACTGAGCATTCCATTTTGGAATTGCAGTTATCCTGGGGTTTGCATCCACAAGGCCAGATTTTCTTTTTGATGTGAAACTGAGAAATCAATGCAAATGCTAGGGGGAAAAACTATTGTGATATCTAATACTAACACTGATGGCTTTGACTTCTCAAAATACTTACATCTGTAGTTCTTAAAGGGTCCATTAATTATTTCTTTTCTCAAATGATTTATTTCATAGTCCCTGCAGGTCAGAACAACCCCAAAGTTCATTTGGACATCAGCATAGGGTATCAGGAGTGGCCTGTACCTTTTTATCCCCCGGGAATGGGACCAGAAATGGTTTGCACCTACCAATTGTCTAGTGACCTGGAAACCACTTCCTGCCTTCTTCAAGGTCTTCTTTAATACTCCTTACGCTGTTGGAAGGTCAAAACTATACACTTCATACTGTCCTCACTTCTAATTTTTTACTTTTAATTCTAAGGGTGATTTTTTTCTTTTTGCAGAGTTCTTTTAGGTACTTACATGTGAAAACCTTACTCTCAAAAATTATCATCATCCCCATGGCAATCCCAACTGTAAAATAATCACAGCTAAGGAAAAACACTGCTTCCTTAGACTTGGCACAGTGCTGAATTTCTTCACATATCATTTAATTCTGATGGCAGATCTGAGGGGTCACAATCGGTTCCATTTTATTAGATGAGAAAATTGTGGCCTAGGGAGAGTCAATGACTGTCCCCAGAATTTCAGCGTTGGCTTCGTCGTGGGTCTTTGATTCTGCCTCCCCCTGCAACAGCTAACACCATGTTCCTGTGACATCCACCAACTTCTCACTTTTAACAGCTGTCCTTTAGAGCCACTTGTGCCCACCCACTTTGCACACTGCTCTGTGACCCACTTGCGCTCCTCCTGGATGCTGTGGTTCTTCCTTGTTTTTCTGTGTATGGCTTATTTTGCCTTTTGCACCTAATATGTAGGCTCATTTTTCCAGTTAACAACATTGGCTGACGTCCCCGAGCCGAAGCTTCTCTGGCTTTGGTACCTCTGGTTTCATAGATAAAGTGTGTTTCCTGGTCCAGTCTCTCCTCCAGCCCCCCCTGCCACACACACTCAGGAAAGCTCCCATGGGAAGTTCTTGCTAGTTCACCCCAGCCTTAGCCTTGGGCCCAAGCACAGGACAAGTGAGTGATGAAGGAAACATCATCATCCAGGGATACCAGAGATGAGTTTTTATTCCTTATATAACTTCTTTAAGCACTTGGTGCCTGGAAATTGGACATCAGTGTTTTTGACACTACATTATAGTTTCCTCAGTGATGCAAAATACATACGTAGGCTTTAGAATTAGACAAACTGGATTCGAATTTCTTTTCTTTTCCTTCCTTCCTTTCTTTCTTTTCAAAGTTAGGTTTATTTAACTTGCGGGAGTAAGGGATAGTGCGCACAGTGGAATAGTGGAGCATCTAGGTGAGAGAAATTTGGGAGCAGCTTATTTTCTATTTTGTTTTGTTTTGTTTTGTTTGTTTGTTTTTGAGACAGAGTCTCACTCTGTCACCCTGGATAAATGTCCTGGCATCATAGCTCACAGCAACCTCAAACTCTTGGGTGTAAGAGATCTTGTCTCAGCCTCCTGAGTAGCTGGGACTACAGGTGTCCACCGTAACCCCAGCTAGTTTGTTTTCTTTTTCTTCTATTTTTATTTTATTTTATTTTAAAAATATTTACTTATTTATGTTTGAGACAGAGTCTCACTTTGTCACCCTCGGCAGGCAGAGTGCCATGGTATCACAGTTCATAGCAACTTCAAACTCTTAGGTTCAAGCCATCCTCTTACCTCAGCCTCCCAAGCAGCTGGGACTATAGGCTTCCACCGCAATACCTGGCTAGATTTTTTTTTTTTAAGAGACAGGGCGTGGCTCTTGCTCAGGCTATTGTCGAACTCCTGAGCTCAAGCAATCCACCTGCCTTGTTCTCCCAGAGTGCTGGGATTACAGATGTAAGACACAGAGCCTGGCCTCCTTCCATTTCTTTCTTTCTTTCTTTCTTTTTTTTTTTTTTTTGAGACAGAGTCCTACTTTGTTGTTCTCAATAGAATGCTGTGGTGCCATAGCTCATAGCAACCTCAATCTCTTGGTCTCATGTGATCCTCTTGCCTCAGCCTCCTGAGTAGTTGGGACTATAGGTGCCCATCACAATGCCTGGCTATTTTTAGAGACGAGGTCTTGCTCTGGCTCAGGCTGGTCTGGAACCCATGAGCTCAGGCAATCCACCTGCCTCGGCCTCCCAAGTGCTAGGATTACAGGCATGAGCCACCAAGCCTCCTTATATTTTTAGTAGAGATGAGGTCTCACTCTTGCTTAGGCCAATCTCAAACTCCTGAATTCAAACAATGCCCCCCCCCCATCTCATCCTACCAAAGTGCAAGGATTACCGGACCTTCTGCTTTCTGAATAATAATTGTATATGGTGAAC